GGAGTGTAGAGAACACTGATGTGGACCCCACTGATGCAGCTTGCAGATCTTCTCACCAAGGTTGTTCCAAGGAAGAAGTTAGAGGCAGATCTATGCAAGTTGGGAATGACAAATATCTATTCCCAACTTGAGGGGGAGTGTAGAGAACACTGATGTGGACCCCACTGATGTGGTCCCCATAGTGTTCGTATGGCAACAATATTTCCATTAGATATGACAGTGTTAGTTGGTAGTTATTTCAGCTTTATTATTAGTTATTTCTTGTTCTATTTGCCATGTAAGCAATAAGGGCAATTCAGCCCTTTTACAATTAGCCAAAAGTTATATATATACTAAGAGAGGGTAGGCAGAAATTATGACCTTCTCTCTCTCTTTTCTGAAACTCTCTTCGTGTACTTCTCTTCCTCTCTTCTCTTCTTCTTCTCTTCAATGTTTCATCCTTTTTTTCTTTTTAATTCAACACTGATTGTAGTCTAGATTGACTACTTTAAATATTAACAAAATATCCAGGCTCGAGGCCGAGCCCAAGTCTATAAAGCCCAAAGCCCAGTGTAGTAGTGCACATTATGCAATATCTTAGTTCTATCTTCTAATTTCATATTTTTGAGTTGTTCATATCCAATCACACATTTTGCACATCAAAAATATTGCTGCCCAAAATACAATTATACACCTTGGTTGAAAAAAAATCACACAAAATACAAAAAGGCAAAATAGTATTACAAGTTATTACCTAATACCTATTACTAATATATATATTTTTTATTATTTATAATATTATCAATCTGGGTCTAAAATGGGCTGGGCTAGGCAAACTTGCTAGGCTACCCAGCCCATGGACAGGTCTAATTGTAATAATGTAATCTTATTCTCTTCTTTCTTAAGCTATGTTTGGTCTGAAGGAAAACGTAGGGAAAGGAAGGGAAAAGCAGGGAAACCTAATACAAGGTTTAAAAAGGTTTTCCTACCTTTCTCTTCTTTTCCCTACTTTTCCTTCAAAACAAGCACAACCTAACAAATTTTCTTTTTTATTCACTACACAAAAAAAAAAGAAAAATTCCTTGAGTCAAGTAAAATGTGTCTCATTCAATTGCACTAGCATGTGACACATGCATATACATTGCATGTACAACTTTAAGAAATCCCATGTATCATATAGGACCAAGGTGGAGGTGAAGAAATGATGAAAGGACAAGAAATGAAAATAAAAGTGAAAAAGAAGTGCAAAATCCAAAAGTAAATAGAGGTGGACAATTGCATTAATGGTAAAAGGATAGTCTCACTGCTCAATGTGATAAACATGCATTAGATTTCAATCCAACCTTGAGAACAACATCGCCTGTTAGAGTAGGGACCTGGATAGTTCCTCCTAGAATTGCCTGCACAAGAGCAAACAGATCACTTATAAACCCCTTGAACAAGGTTAAAGATCCTGAATGTGAAACTAGAGGGGAGTATTGGACTGGGCTGGCAAGAGGCCCAGCTTTACATATAGGCAAAAAGTTGGGACCAGGCTGGCTCAAGTCAGCCTGGGCCTGGCCCGGCCTAAAAATACATTTATGTACGTATTATACCATGTACTAAATACACATGTACTAAATAATATATAGAAGAATTAAGAATCAAATCATTTTAGTTGTTTGGTTCATTACCTAATCAAGTGGCTCCAAACCATAACCCCGAAACTAAAATTTCATTCACTAGAAACCCAACCCAGTATGCATTATTAGTTCAGGCTAACACAATTCTAATACACCAAATTGGGATTGGTTTGAGCTTAGCATCTTGGAYCAACTTCGGACCTCATCATCCCAGCCCAAAGCCAGAGTCTTCATGTTTGGGCTAGGTCTGGTCTAACTTAGCCCAGCCAGGCAATAGTGTTCATCCCCAAGGTTCAAAGTATCAATACACCTTTGTGTATAAGCATAGGAGCTTCAGTGCTTTGAACCATACTCCTTTTATTTTTTTTAGTGTTTTTCAAGTTTCAGTTTTAAACATATCTTTATATATTATTTAAAAAATGGGTTCCAGAAAACACCTGTAAACAGGTGTACGGGGACCAAATGATGCAATACGACACGCCCGATACGGGGCATATCGTATTGATACTTTGTTGCTCATCCCTATGTGGAACTGACTCAGGCTCCCCCTAAAAAATGGCACATTCGAGTCAAAGATCATCCAATATTTCGACTTTAACTGTTTAATAAATAATTTGCAAATGCAATGACTTTGTGGTTCTCCATAGAGAAGCATGAATACCACCCACAGAAAATATATTTCTATCAATAATAGAACATCTAAAGGAAATATCTCATATTAGACTTATTAAAACTTTTTGCCTTCCATTGTATAGAACATATTAATTTTTCCTGGAACATACAGGAAAGGTTCAGTTTGAAGTACCTGAGTGAAACTAATAACAGTGTCAACATGGATGTCAGGACCTTCTCTTCGGAAAACAGGATCTTCCCGGACCTAGAAAAGAAAAATGACATTAAATTTTGGGCAACAAAGAAGGTATGGCAACTTTCATCACAAACATAAAACATCGAAGATAATAGAAATTAGAGAAGTCACCTTTATTGTAACATAGAGATCACCGGGTTGATTGCCATCAGGATCTGCTCCACCACTTCTAAACACCTTCATGGTTTCATTATCATCCACTCCTATATGCACCAAAGAAACCAAAGAAATTAAACATTCTTGTTAACTGCAAGAAGCACACAATAGAAGACAGAACTGTTTTCCCCCTTGGGACCCTTATGGTTCCATGTGTAAGTACATGGTAACTGCTTCCTGTTGGAAAGCACAGAAATAGGGATATGTCAAGAACTTGATGATGAGAATGAGACAACCAATCATATCAATGCTATTACATTGTTTATATGGGAACATACCCATCCAAAAATGGCATAGATTCTAAGATAAATGAAGATGATTAAAAAACCATGCCTTCAACAAACTTCTTTTATAGGTAACAATTAATTTATTAAAGATAAACAATAAAGATGTACAAAGCTTGCATAGTTGCTTAAGTTTATATTACAATTGAGCCAAAAAAAAAACAAAATTGATTTCTAATTTGGCCCTTGTTTGACTCAAGTATCAGCCAAACTATTTGCTGAAGCGTACACACATTGAATCCTTAGGCTCAGTTTGAAAGGAGTGCAAATACAAATATGTACAGTGCAAAGCCTTGTATTGCATATTTCTAAACCTGTATTTGCACCATACATATTTGTATTTGTATTCTTCCCAAGCTGAGCCTTAGAAACCAACTATTGAGTATTGACCAGAAAGACAAAAAAGATAATGTTCATTTTAGCCTATCAAAAGGAAAGAAGGTAAGAATATTCATTCATTCTATTAAAAAWTTCCAATGGAATGAGTAGAGCTTAAAATGGAAAGTTCAGTTACACGAGTATAACATATTCTCAACTATAGAAAGTCAGAAACATATTACCCCATCTTTCCCAAAGAAGACGTTTTCCCTCTTTGAAAAAAAACCCATATTTTAAGAACTATTTTGGTGCACTGTGTCTATTTATCCAAATTTCTTGTCTAACAATATTCTCTAATCACCTGGTTTTACAACATAAATAAAACACAAAAAGGGAAAAAAAACTATTTAAAAATTTGGCAAGGGGCAATATGAAATAATGAGAAATCCTGATGCATTACTTCTCAATGAACAAATGCCAAAGGATAAAGAAGAACCACAAAGTGGGCATCCTGGTGGAATGAATGGAATACATTTAAGCAGAAACAAAAAGAGAAACAAAATAGACTGCTTAAATGGATATATTAGCTTCTCATTTCAAACCACAAGGAAATGTTCTAAGACATGTACTTGGATGGAACAGGAAAAACAACTACATTTAACTCTACTAAAGCAGGAATTGTTGCCAAACTTACCAAACAGATTTCCTAGTAACTATGCTTGTGATTATCATGTGAGTTGCTTGGCCAACTACATAATTTAGGTCAATATTTTTTGTCATTAAACTCATTAGGGGTGGGCCKGTGGTTTAAGTCCCACCCCTAAATAGGGCAGAAGACCTACAGGGTCTCAGAGTTAGTTTATAGCTTATGCTGCTCAAAAAGCATCTGACGGTTACAGTAAGGGAATCTAATACTTACAACGAGATGGTAGAAGAGTCAATTTATCATGTTATTAAGGAACAGAGGACATTAGACAAAGCCAATTAAAAGTGTTCATTCAAATGTTTTGCCATTAATCACTTACGAAAAATGACCAAAAAAGCATGAAAAGGTAGTTGAGAACATTGTAAGTTTGGTTTCAATTTTCTTCTTCTGGTTTATCAAATTAATACTAAATCTTCATTCTACCTGCTATCTTTAAGCAATATGGACATTATTGGGTTGATCTTCCATAGTCTAGTAACTGCAACAAAGCCAGACCAATCTACCTCTATTGATCAGTCAATCTCTCATCCAGGCTTTGAAACATTATTCTAAAACAGTACTAAAAATAAGTGAAAATCAGAGGAAAATACATTTTAACCTCTCAAAAAGAAGACCATGTGTAAAACAATAAAATATAAGATAATGGAAAAAATGCCACCTTAATGGCTTTTTCTATCAAATATAAGCTCATTACCCAACAAAGGAACAAGAATAAGAGAATAAGAAAAGAAAAAAAACAAAAAAACAAGTAATCAGAATAACCACATGCAACCAGAAGTGAAAGAGACAATTCAAACTCACCTGGTGCAATATCCAACTTGACAGACTTCTGTCCCCTCATAACGCGTTCACCCTTGCATGACTTGCAGAAGCTCTGTAGACAAAATATACAGAACACAATTATATGTAATAGTTCAATAATAGAAGCCATGAAAGTTTTTAAGAAAAAATAAAAATAAGAAAAATGAAATGAAAGATGACAGATACCAAATAAGCACTACTGGTGTGATTTAATAAATTTCTTCATTCATCAAAAAAAAAAAAAAAACACTACTGGTGGCACCTGAATAACTACAAGCAAGGTCCAAAGTATCACAATTGTATTGGTTTTTGAACCCACCAAAACACTGTTTACAGCGTTTAGAGTGTCTTTATGTTTAAACATAAGAATCCCTCCTAACATGTTTATGGTTGAACCTCAGTTTAAAAAGTTAAAAAAAAAAAGAAAAAATAAAAGATTTTCATTTTTTTGAATCACACAACATGCGGTTTTTGCATATTGCACATATTGATACTTTGAACCATGACTACAGCTGATGGCTAAAAAACATAGAACTTAGACCTTTAGTTTCCATGTAAAAGTCCATATTACATTTGGAGCATAAGCATGCATCAGATCAAAAAGCACGTCTGATGATTTAAAACTCTCCTTAATAGGCTATTTTCTCCATTTTGGAGGTCAACTTTCCTGACTGCAAATAAATTTATCTTGGTAGAGTATATCCTAAAATAATGGAGTTAGGTCTTCAAACCAGCAAGAATAACACATCATTTTCTTATGAATTACTCTTAGAATCAACTATCCAAAACAGAATTCACCATTCCACCATTGTGAGAAAGCAACATAACAGAATTCTTCATCTGTGAGACAAATCCAGGGCCTGGCTCTCTTCTGAGAAGGACATTGAAGGTGAAGTTATCCCCCACTTTAATTCTATCTTCACCTCCTCTTATCCAAACAGTGATATTGGTTTTCTCCAAAACCTCCAGGCCCACCTCTTTGACGAGACAATCCACAATCTTACCAGCCCTTGACTGATGAAGAAATCAATCAAGCCACCTTCTCTATGGGACCCCATAAATCTCCTGGTCCAGATGGCTTCCCCAGTGTGTTTTTTCAACATTATTGGAACATCATCAGCTTGGATGTTACTACAGTAATCAAGGAATGCTTTCAAAATGCTTCAGCCCCCTCCCTCATTTCTGTTGTATTTTCTGCTATTTACTTTTAATAAAAGCTCTGTTAATTATCCAAAAAAATGCTTCAGTCCCAGCTTACCTCAACTGGACCCATATTGCTCTGGTCCTGAAGTTGAAGAATCCTGTCAACATGCATGGCTATCGGCYTATCAGCCTCTCAAACACTCTTATCAAATCCTCTCTAAGTGCATGGTGAATAGATTGAAACCCTCCCTCAACATATTGATTGATTCCGCACAAACAGTCCTCATCCAGATCTAGAACAGAGCCACCTCTGAGAATACTTTCATTGCTCATGCTACTTAAAGCACCTCAAGAGAGGCAACAATTYCCATATGAAACTAGATATGAACAAAGCTTCTGATTGATTGACTTGAATGGCCTTCTTTTTTAGTCATCCTTCAGCCATTGGGGTTTCCTGCCCCATGGATCAATTTCAATCAATTTTGTTTCCACAATGAGTTACTCAATCCTCATTAACGGCTGCAGCAAATGCAATATAATTCCCCAAAGAGGTACCAGACAGTTCTTCAAGGCCTTAAAATCGGCAGATCAGCTTCAGTTCCACCTTTTCTTTGAAGATAACACTATCCTCTTCTTGAAAACTATCATCATCAATGCCAACTTTCTTAAGCAGATCTTAGACACTTRRGGATCACCTTCAGCTCCAACACAGCTCAAGAATTCTGCAAAATTATCTCCAAAATCCTCCACATTCCTGAGGCTAAAGGCCAAAGCAAATATCTAGGAGTCCCCACGGCAATTGACAGGAGAAAAGTCAAACCCTTTTCATTTATTCATGATCAAGTTATAACCAAGCTCAATAGTTAGAAGAGTTTTAACCATACATAAGCTAAAAATGACGCCCTCCTTAAAGTCATCATCTCCTTCTTCCTAGCTTACACTCTATGCAACACTTTAGACTCCCTAAAAGCCTTGTTTGAAGATACAAAACAAGTGTGCTTCCTTCTTTTGGGGCCAAAAGGCCRGTGAGAAGAAGATTACTTGGATCAGTTGTAAGAGATCTTTCGGGTGGTCTTGGCTTCCAGGATTTATGGCTCTTCAATTCTGCCCTGCTTGCCAAAACAGCATGGCATCTCCTCCATGATGATCACTGCCTTTGGGCAAATCTAATGAAGCCCATCTATTCTACCTACAGCTCCCATCTCAAGGCTACTACCAGGGCAATGCCTCCTAGGGCAGGTGAATCCTTCAATCTAGGCTCGATTTTATTGAAACAAGGCATAATTTGGAAGGTGGGTGATGGATAAAAAATCCAAATATGGAGTGACCCCTGGATCACCTCATTCCTTGGGCAAAGAATCATTACCCCCAAGCCTCCTAACTATACCCTCTCTACGGTGTCTGACCTCATCCTTCCTAGAGCCTGCAAATGGAATGAGCCGCTTTTTTTTTTGATAAATCAAATGGAATGAGCCATTAATCAGAGGTCTTTTATCCAATGCTAAAGTTGTAGCCATTCTCTTTCCCTCTCAGTTGGTAAGACCCCCAGGACACTGTTACTTTGTCTCTTCACAGAAGGGRCAATTATACTATTAAGTCTGGTTACCACCTAGCCTGGCAACTAGACAGTCAAAACCTCAAGCAGCCCCAACCCTGTGGAAAGTCATTTGGAAACTCAAAGACACCCACCCCCAAGTGGCAAATTTTATTTAGAGAAGCTGCTCCAATGTCATTGCCTCTTGCCATGGAGTGAACATCCCTCTGTTGTCATTGTAATGATGCCCTTGAGGACACTATCCACATATTTCTCCGTTGCCCCTTCTCCCAGGCTATCTGGTTCGCATGCCCCCTGCATATCCAAACTGATAGCATTCATGTTTCTCACTTTGCAGATTGGGTTGAGACCGGATTCCTCTATAATGACCAAAAGCTTTCGGCTCACCTAATTTCAAATGGTCACTCCCCTAACCCTCTTATAGTCATGAATCATAGTGCTTCTCTTCTCATGGAGCTATTCCTAGTCCTTCCAGAGCCCTCCTTGCTCAATTAGCCTCTGCCCCAGCCGGCCCTCTAGTCCCCTCCTGATTGAAAGTGGCTCAAGGTCAGATGTGACGCTAGCTCCTCCCCTTCCTCTTAGGTAGTTGGCCTTGCTTGCATCATCCAAGACCAGCAGGGTCCCCTTATCGTGATGAGAGGCTTTCCCAACTGCAGCTTATCGATGGACAACACTAAGAGTAGAGCTATCAAATTGGTTTGCCTAGAAGCTTCCCGCCTTGGCCATTGCAACTTCATAGTAGAATCAAATGCTCGTGGAGTCCTTGATGCTCTGGTTGCAAAAGACTGGCAATTAGGGTGGCTCATATTCTAGCCCAGCAAGCCCATCACCAACAGTTTTTCTTCTATGATAGCTCTCTTATCCCTAAATGGCCTGCTCAGACTTTGGTTCATGAATACWATGTATTTCAGCCACCTTCATTGAACAAAATCCCTCATTTTCTACCAAAAAAAAAAACTATCAAGAGCATAGTGTATATGTATAATAATATGATCTAATACAAATATTTGCGATGTCTCTTCATTTCTTTTTCTAAGTTTGAATCTAATCATTTATTTGAAGTACAACACTGAACTTTCCAAAACTTAAATGCCTTTTCAGCTTCTAGTAAGATATAAATGTCTTTTCAAAATTTAAATTTCAAATTTCAAAATAGACAAGGAGATAATTAAATGGGTTGTTTAGAAAATGACATCTAGTTGTATTGGAAGTTGAAAACTAGACATTTTGTCCCACATCGGATAGGAAGAGTAAGGGAGCAACAAGAACTCAACTATAAAAGAAAAGTTGGGATACTTAAAATTGGATTTTTCTCAGATTTTTTGGCTAGGACAGATTTTAGGCCCAGGATCCCGTCTGGGCCCTAAAGCCCTTGACGTAGATGCTAAGCCTGGCCTGACCCATGATCACCTCTAATAATAGGTTCTAACACAGTAGAACCATTAGGTAATAACATGTAGCTATGCCTACATAGTAATAAGTACACTGATAACAGTACAATAAGGTGCCTTGTGATTTTTATCACCTAGGTGGGTGCCTAATCACCTAGAAGATGCCTTTTTTATATGAGCCATGGCATTTAGACAAGGTGCCCAAGTGAACTTTATCACCTAGGCAATACCTTGACAATAAGGTGCCTTGTGATTTTTGTCACCTAGGTGGGTGCCTAATCACCTAGAAGATGCTTTTTTATAAGCCATGGCATTTAGGCAAGGCGCCCAACCAAGTGAACTTTATCACCTAGGCAGGTGTAGGGCACCTAGGAAACACCTTGACAACCATGGTATATGCTTGATATKCAAAATGCATGGATTTCCCCAAAATACACCACATACAGAACATGATTTTTCAGCATACAAACAATTAGAATAAGCTCATTCATGAAGATATCTAATATTTCRCATCTTGTAAAAGAAACAAAATGCAGTTGCTCATCGAAGCATAGTTGGTACAGTAATGCATACACAGAGGTGAGGTTAATGTCACAAACTAAATCAATAACAGAAATCACAGAAATACCGACTGATTCCACAAGATATATGTGAAGTGAAATAACTGTTTTGATTTTTTACAAGGTTACCAAGTGAACAATGTATCAGATCCATTCAAAACAATAATTCAACAAACAGACACATTATGCCATCATACCGTTACAGTTTTTCCAGTTCCACCACAGTGTGTACAAGTGGTCTGCAACCTAAATGGTCCCTTTTGCATGAATATCTGTGCATGTGACAGATAACCCCATCAATTAGTCATAACAATATACACAATAATGCAGATGCGCATACATACCCATAAAAGAAAATGGAAGAAGAAAAACCAAATGCAGAGAAAATAGTGTCTTTGCAGAAAACTGACCATTCCAGAGCCCCTACAAGGTCTACATGTTTCTGGCCTGGTCCCAGGAGGCACACCAGTTCCACCTGCAAAAAATAGTTACATGAATGTTAAAAGAAATATAATTATGTTATAATTCAACCAATCTTACAGAGCTAACAGAACTGACAACAATAATTAAAACTTGCTAAGAGGAAAGATAATTATCATACCACAAGTTTCACAAGGTACAGCAGCTTGGAATGTCACAGTTTTAGTGCAACCCTGGACAGCTTCCATGAATGATAGCTCAAGCGAAACCTATGCAAAAATAATAATAATGAGAGTGAACATCAAAGAAACAAAAGGATAAACTTTCAAATCAACCAACTTCATGATGGTATCAAGTCACGAACTATATATATGTGTATATATATACATATATATATATAACATGACATTCAAACCTTGACATCTTGCCCACCGAAGCCTCCCTGATTGAAAATATTCTTGAAGAACTGATCTCCGATGAATAATGCCCCAAATCAAGCATACAAAAGACCAAATAAGATGTCAAGTTTCAGATTAACAAACTGAAGCTAAAATTTCTAGAAGAACAGATGCATTACAACCTAAACCAGATTCAGTACATGATAAAATGAGAACTAGGGAGTGAAATAATCAAAGTTTGGCTTAAATTTAATATCAAGGGCACATAGCAACTAGTGATCTTAACAGGTTGAGTTCAGTCAGATAAAGTTAGATCTGGACTCAACAAGAATACACATTTATGAAATCCAGTTTCAAGTTTGAATCTGATAAGTATGTTTCAGGTTGACCTTTTACCTTATCTGTACATGCAAGTTCTCAACAAAATCCACAACAATGCTTTTCAAAAGACTTGGATCTACATTCTAATATAAATAACAGTATTCTAATATAAATAACAGTATTGTGAAGGATCCAAAAAAAACCAAGCTGGATCCCAAGGCTACAAAGGGAATATTTTTGGGGTACTCTCCTACACAAAAGGGGTACAAGTGTTATGATCCTGTCTCCAAGAAAAAGTATGTCACCAGAGATGTAGTCTTTTTTGAGTCTCAACCCTATTTCCAATCTTCTCAGAATCCTCTTCAGGGGGAGACTAGTGGATTGGAAGAGG